GTAACTTTCATAATTAGATGGTTTGTCTTCATTACTGGTTTTTTTTAGTTTTGTTTAGATTATTTTATTTAATTTTTGAGATAGGCTCTCACTGTGTAGTCCTAGTTGGTCTGGAACATGCTGTGTAGACCAGACTAACCTCTACTCACAGAGCAGAGATCTTCCTGACTCTGCCTCTCAACTGCTGAGATTAATTGCATATACCATCATGCCTGACCATTTTTTCTATTCTTTTTAATAAGATCTATCTTACAGCATATATCACACACTACCTTATAAAGTACTAGTGTCCTCATTTTACAGAAAAAGAAAGTAAGGCATAAGAAGTTAAATAATTTGCCGCCCACCACTGGAGCCCATGTACTCTGTCACCCGTTACTGTCCACTGTGTTGACGGCACCCCCAGCCATTCCTCAGTGCTTGTCCATCGGCTGAATCTAGTCAGCCTATCTAGAGATCCATGTTTTAGGAAGACCAGCTGTTCCTTATCTAGCAGAAATCAGTTGTCAATATTCCTTTAGATAAGACAGGTCTGCTGTTCATTTTCCCAGTTCTATGCTGGGTTACTGTCTGGGAGTCCTTTGGGCCACCCTGGCCAAAAACTCAAAGGAAGGTATCTCCTGTTTGGCATTGTTTCTTGTTATGTGGCCTTTAGCTATACATATGGACTCTTAAAAAATTATATTGACCTCATTAATCTTTGGTTATACTTTCCTTTTGGGTGTTTAAGACCCTACAATTGGCCCAGATAAATGAATTTATTTTTACTCTTAAGGCCATTTGAGGATCTGTTCCTCAGGGATCACACGGGCTTGAGAGGAGCCCCTGGCCCCTTTCTTTCACCAGTTCCACCTATGTGAAGATAAGTCAAAGGTCCTGCTTGACCCTCAGACTGCTTTTTTATACAACAGAGGCTCACTTCCCCACAGGTGGCACCACCCACAGTGGGCTGGGCCCTGCCACATCACTCAATAATCAATAACATGCCCCACAGACATGGCCACAGGGTAGTCCAATGGAGGCAATTCACCAATTGAGGCTCCCACAATCTAAGTGTGTCAAGTTGACACTAAAGCTGTCCAGCACACCACTTGCGCTGCTGTGGCGCTTGTCTAAGATACCCTGCCCTCTATATCGTTTATGAAGCCCCTACCTTGTGGGATTTCCATACCTTTGGGTGTAGGTTAAATTTATTTCATTAAATCCCAACTCTCTGAAAACCTTCATCTGGATATGATGGCAAGCATTTCCCATCTCTTTTGGGGAGACTGTATCGTGCTGAGTTTCACTTTAAGCATATTACTGCACTGTTCCCTGAAAAAAAAGGTAGTGAGTGATGTGATAAACTGCTTGCATTAAATATATAAATACAAAAATGATATTCTCTATTTCTATAATATTTCTTGTAGAATGTAAATCAGGAATACAGCCTGTCCTTTAATGACTGCAAAACCTAACAGACACTCAGGTTTTCCTATACCTATTTTCACAAGCCACTAGTGAGTGATATCAAATTCTGGTCAGAGTTTATTAGGAATTAATGAAATGAAGTTAATTTCATAAGAGACTTCAGCAGGATATCAGATCTGTCTGAAGTCCCTTCTGCAGGCCTGTGCTTTGATCTGGGACACAGTCATCACCTCATCAGGATTTGATTTAAAAAAATATTTTATTTATTATTTTTATTTTATGCGTATGCTTGTATTGCCTGCATGTAGATAAGTGTGTCCATGTCGTGCAATGCCCACGGAGGACAGAAGAGGCTGTCAGGTCCCCTGGAACTGAAGTTACAGACAGTTGTTAGCTGCCATGTGAGTCTTCTGCAAGAACAGCCAGTGATCTTAACCACTGAGCCATCTCTCCAGCCCCAGGATGTGATATCTTTATATATTTATTTTATTTAATAGTTTTTTCTGAACTTACATTAGCTGAGGATGCTTGAAACAGTGGGGATGGTTTCTGACAACATAGATACAGATGATGCAGAAGGAATAAAGCCTTCCATTTGCAAATTTGTTATGATCTACACACATGTTTCAATAGTTTGCATATTTTTATACCCAGTAATTAAAATATAGACCATTTCATTGTGTTTAGGGTCTGGGAAATTGCACAAAGTTTTGTCTCTTTAGGAGCCCATCCTTATTAAAATTTTGCATTTTGGTACAGGCAGGCCTTTCATCTTTGGATGATGTACCAGTGTAGGATGTGTTATTTACTAAGTTTCTGGGACATTGCATGTGCTGGAGCTCTTGCTTCAGGTACCTAAAGGGGCTCAAAGGATTATGTATATTACATATATAATATATATATAATGTATATGTAATGTATATGGTGTGTGTTCTCAAAACCTTTCTCAATTGTAGTATTCTTCATGATAAGGGATCAGACTCTTATCTGTTCCTCCCTTTCCCATCAATATGATGACACAAACACATCCTTATTAGTTTATATAAATGTGTTTTTAAATCAAGCTGTATTATTAGTTTATTTCTGTTCTCAAAGTAAAGTAAGTATAGCAGTTTTGATTTTATTCCTAGTACTCGTTTAAGTCAAGCCACTCTTTAAAAGGATAGAATTAGTCTACCTTGGTTAAAATTAAGTTTGTAAGGATGTAATACTTCCAACAATTGCACTGTAATTTTTTCTAGTAGGTAGGCTCTGGTTTACTTTGGAGATACAGAGAGTGACTGCAGAATGGTATTATGACTGTCCCTCTTTTCTAATTATGTACAGACCTCAGGGAATACAGAGTGTTGTTGAGAGAAAAAAACTCATCATTTATATCTGCTTAGATGGGAGAGTTCCTTGTAGCTCACTTAGTTATTAGACTATAACAAAGTAAGGTTAAGTCATGACTTTTTCTTACAGTACTAATAATTAAACCCAGGACCTTGCACATGCTAGGCAAGTACTCTAGGAAGTTAGCAAGACAAAATATTCTAGCTTGTGTAATAGCTAAATATACATGTCATATTATAAATCTTTTATTTACTTTTATGTCTATGCACATATTGCCTGTGTAAGTCAGATTCACTGCTGGGAGATGCAGCCCCCCATTCATGGCTGATGTTGAAAGTCCACACGCAGACATAAACCCTGTGGTTCTGGACAGCCTTACAAAATGGCGAGAGACCAGCCTTGTGGTTTTCCCAGCTTTTATACCCTTAGCCCCTCCCCTGAAAGTGGCTATGGTCAACTGATTGGCTAGAAGAGGGAAGGGGAGTGGCGTGGCTTCTTTGCAGAGTGAGGGAAGGAGTCGGGTCCATGGCTTGTCATCACAGGGTCAGAGGAACATCTTCTGGGTGTGTAAGTGCACCTGTGTTGTGCAATGAAGAGAGTCCAGCCCCATTACAAAATATTTGAGTCATAAACTGTTTTAAGAAGCCAGTTAATTTGTTGACTCCCTCTAATGTTACAGTCAGGTTTTCTGTATGATAATGAATACCTGAAGTATTCAACTTACAAAAAGACAAGGTTTATATTGGCTCAAAGTTTTAGAGGTCTCAGTCCATTCTTAGTTAGGTCCCTTTCCATAATGCATTTGGGCACAGCAGTACATACTGGTGGGAATATGTGATAAAACCAAATTGCATACCTTGTGGCAGAAGGAAAAAGAGAAAGAAGAAGGGGCAGTGACCTGAAGACCTCCAACTAGGTGAGCCCTTCTTAAAGGGTCCATCTTTAATTCATAGGCTTTGGAGATATTCCACACCCACCTAGAGTACTTCTCATCTGTAACCATAGAAGCACGATAGCTTATTTTGCATCTAATTTGAGGATCTTCATTGATTTCCTACAGCTGATCTGTGAACCTTTAAATGGTTAAGAAGTCCCGGACCAATTTTGATGGCTTTCTTTATTCAAAGCCTGTAGAAATGAACCCTGTTCTCCTTGGCTACAAGAGTTAACTGTCAATGGACATGGTTCCCAAGTAAACCTCTAGATGTTATGTTGCATTCTATACTGAGTAGGCCTCACCTCTGCCCCAGATACAAGACTGAAAATTTGGGGATTTTGAGAATTTAGGTATTAATTAGTTCCAAGATTCCTAGTGCATTTCTTTGTGGGGGTTCATGTTTTTACTGGTCTTTTCTTCAGCTTTCCTTCATACACAGTCTGTTTTGTGTTGTTCTTTTTCAGGAGAAGGTCTTTTCCCAGGAGTCATTGATCTGTTTGGGAGTGCTGGTGGACTGATTGAATTCCGGGCCAGTCTCCTGGCAAGTCATGGGTTTGCAGCCTTGGCCCTGGCTTACTGGGGCTATGACGACCTGCCCCCTCTATTGGAGAAGGTGGATCTAGAGTACTTTGAGGAAGCTGTGGAGTTTCTCCTGAGACATCCTAAGGTAGTATTTGACTCACTAGTAGGATTTAGTCCTAGTGTTATAATAACTCCAATGTTCTACAACTTCCCTTATCTTCCAAGTGTGATTCTCCCTCAGTGAATCTGAAATCTTACTGTTTTCCCATACCAGTACCATGACTTATTTCTCATCTAGTATCCTTTGCTTAGAAAAACAAAGTGCACAGGAAGTTAGGCTTCATCTGTCACAGTGATGAAAGGCATTTGCTTTGAATTCAGACAGAAATGGGTTATATTTCTGGTTTCATCTCATCTGAGTGAGGAAATCTGAGTGATTCCTTAGACTCTCTCATTCTCAGTGCTTCTTCATCTCTTCAATAGTATTGTGATGATGACTTCCTAAGGGTATGGTGAGATTTGAAGGGGATAATGACATGCCAAGCCATTATCCTTATATCTGACCGCTCATCACTCAATAAAGATAAGCAATTGTTACTTTTAATTATTAATATTATTTTATTTTATCATTACCATACTTAGCCAGACAAATGCCATGTATTTTTTGGAGACTTGTTCTCAGTCTTTATGTACTTGAAAGGACATAAACAGAGTTCTGCAGTGCTTTCCAGTCCCTGCCCCCTCCTTGAATCTAGAACACATGCTTTGCTGCTGTTCTACGGTTAGTGCTTATTAATTATTGCTAATTACCTACTTCTAAAATAAAAAACATCAAACATCTAAAAATTTTATGTATATATGTATGTATGTGCACCACATGTGTGCAGTGCTTGCAGAGGCCGGGTTAGGGCATCAGAGTCCCTGGAAATGGAGTTATGGATGGTTTTTGGCCACCATGTGGGTTCTGGGAACCAAACCTGGGTCCACTGCAAGACCAGCCAGTGCTCTTAACTGCTGAGCCATCTCTTCAGCCCAGTTACCTGATGGTTTTTGTTGTATAGCTTTTTGGGGGGAAAGGGGCAGAGTGACATATAGCCCAGGCTTGCCTTCAGGCTTTCAATATAGCTGATGATGACTTTGTATCCTAATCCCTTTGCCTCTACTTTCCAAGTTCTGGAATTACAGACATATGCCTGTTTGGTTTTTTTCTTAGTAAGAGTTGAAGAAATTAAATCTATATATTACCTTTTTTGCCATGCATGGTTGCATGCCTTTATTTAATTTTGTATTCAAGAGATAGAGGCAGATGAACTCCCTGTGAGTTCAAAGCCAGCCTGGGCTACATAGTTCCAGGTGGTCAGCCAGGCCTACACAGTGGAACCCTGTCTAAAAAAATAAAAAACAAACTTTTGGAGGAGAGACAGCTGAGACAGGGTCTCACCACATTGCCCAGTCTGGTAACTCAATGTCCTGCTGCCTCAGCCTCTGAGGTCCTAGAACATACAGTACATTGGCAGATGCCACTACATCTGGATAAAAGTGTTTAGAGTTTGGTTTGATTTGGTTTGTTTGGTTTGGTTTGGGAGGTGGAGGGAGGTGTTACTAAACCTGCAGTATTTTTTTTTGTCTATTTGACAAGGCCCCAGCTGGCCTAGAACTTGCTATGTAGACCAGGCTGGCCTCGAACTCACAGAGATCCACTGCCTCTGCCTCCAGAGTGCTGTGACTAAAAGCATGTGCCACCACGCCTGCACCAAGGCACATTTTTAAAAAAACATTGTTTGAGCTGGACAGACTCTCATTAAGTTGCCCAGTCTGACTTTGAACTTGCCACTTTGTTGCCTCAGCCTCCTGAGTAGCTGGGGTTATAGGCCTGCACCCAACAGCCAGTTTGAAGCTGCTATTTTTTTTTCTTAAAGAATAAATTTGTGCCTGGTGTGGTAGAGCAATGGAGCTAGAACTGACCTGGAACTGACCTCTCTGAAGGCTAGGTCTCATAGTTTTGGAGAGTACTATGCAAGCCCCTAAGGGAGAACATCAGTAGACGGTCCAAGCCCAGATTTATTTTAAATTTCAGTATCTTGTTTTTTTTTCATTTAGGAAATAGTTTTGGGGTACGGGAGGTTTGGTGCAATTTTGCTCTCTGGGAAGCAGAGGGCACTAGAACATTAGAAAAACAGATTTTTTTTTATTTTAAATTGTGGTGCATACTCAAACTTTATAGTAGAGATATTCAAAAGTTGAACACTTACAAGTTTGAAACATTTAACATCAGTACTGTCTTAAAAGTTTCATTCCACTTCCTCCATTGGCTTCCTAGATTCTGTTTTGTTTTTCCTTAGTAAAAGCAGATGTTTTAGCATATATTATGAAACAAGCTACACTGAATTATCTACATGTATTAATTCATTACACAATCACTGTGAAAGATAATAGCAAGTAGATCTAGGACTTGTAGTCTTATCTACAATTCTGAAAGGATTATGTTGGAAAAGAGAAGTTGGTCCTAAAATATTGGTTCACATATCTTGAGAATACTTCTTTTCTGATAAGATCCTCTGTTTCATTTTTTTATGTACTCTTTTTTTCATGTACTCTTTCTTCTTTTATTTATTTATTTTTATGGGGATTTTGGCTACTCTAACATCCCCCCCCCTCTGAAGAGGTAACCTTAAACTCTTTTAAGGATTGGATAAAGCTTCCAAATACTTTCAACATTTTTGGCCTTTGGAACAGAGTATGTTGCTACAGGATTTGCTTTCAGGTATTTTGATAGCTGTTGAAGTGGTTAGAATCAGTGTCAGTTCCCCGTCAAGGTTTCAATATAACTGAGGGGTTGCTGAGGTGTACGTATGACCTGAGGATATGCACACTGGAAAGCCTTTACCCAGCATGGGTCATGCCTTCTCTTCCTAGCCTTCCCCAGATTGTGTACTTTAGGCTTCCCCAAATACAGAAGACCATGTGTGATTAGGGCCAAATTATGTACAGTTGGCTGGGAAGAGTGGCTGGATACTCTGGTGAGGGTCCAATGACCCTGCTTGCCCCTCCTTTAATTTGGCACTCCTTTAATGAATGAGCACAACCATCAACAAGCCCAATTGTGACTATGTTTAGTGATCAGGCACAGCTGAAGTCGTGATGATGGTAGTTATTTCATGCAGAAGACACTGCTGTACAGCATCATCTTATTAAAAGGACATGGAATTTAAAAGGATTTGGTGCTAGGAGCCATATATGAGGGAGAACATATGCCGTTTGTCTTTCTAAGCCTGTGTTACTTCACTTAGTATAACAGTTTCTAGATCCATCCATTTACCTGCAAATTTCATTATTTCATCTTTCTTTACTGCTGAATGGAACTCCATTGTGTAAATATACCTCATTTCCACATTTTCATTATCCACTCATCAGTTGAGGGACACTTAGGTTGCTTCCATCACTTAGCTATTGTGAAAAGAGCAGCAACAAACATGGTTATACAATTGTCTCTACAATAGAGTGAGTCCTTTGGGCTACAATAGGATGAGTCCTTTGGGTATATGCCAAGGAGTCCTATAACCGGGTCATATGGTTGGTTCATTTTTAGTTTTTTAAGAGTTCTCCACACTGTTTTCCATAGGGGTTGCACGAGTTTGCAATTCTACCAGCAGTGAATGAGTGTTCCCTTTTCTCCACATCTTCACCAGCATTTGGTATCATTTGTTCTTGATCCTAGCCAGTCTAATTGGGGTAAGGTGATACCTTAGGAATCCTAGCCAGTCTGATTGGGGTAAGGTGATACCGTAGGGTGGTTTTAATTTACATTTCCCTAAAATTACTAACAATGAACACTTTCTGAAATGTTTCTTAGCCATCTTTATTTCTTCCTTTGAGAACTCTCTATTTAGATCTTTAGCCCATCTTTTAATTGGATCGTTTGGTTTCTCAATTGTTTTAGTTCTTTATATATTTTGGATGTTAAACTTCTGTCAGACGTGTCACTGT